AGTACTGGAGCTGCTGGGCCTGCGGGTACTTCTCGAGTTGGAGCTGCTACGGGTGTTGACGCGGTGGCTACTGCTGTCAGTCCTGGAGGCGGTCCTGCTAGGGGTGCTACTGGTGGTGCTGGAGGTACTGGAGCTGGAGGTGCTGCTGGTGCTGGTGCTGCCACTGGAGGTACTGGTGCTGTCCCTGCTGTGTCGGGAGTCGCCGCGCAGCCTCGGTCGTACTTCGTTCCGCTCCTTCAGCAGGTTCTTGGTCTCCCGCCTTCTACTGGTCCTCCTCCCCCCTTCGATTGTCCACGGCCTGTCCCGTCACAGTTACAGTTACAGCCGGCCTCCCCATTGCCTGCTCCGTCTCCCTACACTGGTCCTACTGGAGGTCTTGCTGAGCGTCATGAGCCTGCGTCTCGCCCTGCGTCGCCTGTCCGTGCTGCTCGCACTAGTGGTCGCGGTTCGCGTTAGCGTCCTCCTCCTGTCCCTCGCACGCACCGGATGTCTCTGCGTCCGTCCACTGCTCCTCTGCGTGCCCCTTTACCTTCTCCTCCTGAGTCTTCTCTTCCTGCTCTTGCCGACCCAGAGTCGGACTCTCTTCGTGCTGCCAGTCCTACTGTCACGCGTCTCCTTGCTACTGTTGACACTAACCCTTCCTTTGAGTCCACTGCTGCGTCTGCCCTAGTTGCTGAGCTCGTCGACTTTGCTGCTCGCTGTCGCCTCGACTACGCCGCCAGTCTTGTTGCTGAGTCTGAGTCTGTCTGTCCTCCGTCCGTCGGGGGTGAGTGTGCCCTTGGCGCGGACGTCCTTGAGGACAGGCAGGAGGATTTCCAGTGTCTAGCTGCTGCTTCACCTCATCTCGTGTCCGTACTGCTTACCCCTGAGGGAGACCCGAATGCACTTGACATCCCGACTCCGCGCTCTTACGCGGAGGCGATAGAGGGTCCCTACTCCTCTCAGTGGCAGGCAGCTATGGACGCAGAGATGGCTTCTTGGAAGTCCACTGGCACCTACGTTGACGAGGTTCCCCCGCCTGGGGCGAACATCGTCAGTGGCATGTGGATTTTCAGGGTGAAGCGGCCGCCGGGTTCTCCGCCTGTCTTCAAGGCGCGTTACGTGGCTCGAGGCTTCAGTCAGCGGCAGGGAGTTGACTACTTTCAGACCTTCTCTCCCACCCCAAAGATGACCACTCTTCGGGTACTGCTGCACATAGCTGCTCACCGTGACTACGAGCTTCACTCTCTTGACTTTAGCACAGCTTTCCAGCAGGGCAGCTTGCACGAGGAGATCTGGCTGCGCCGCCCACCTGGCTTCACTGGGTCTTTTCCTCCTGGCACCGTGTGGAGCCTCCGGCGGCTAGTCTACGGTCTCCGCTAGGCACCGCATGAGTGGCACGACACACTGAGGACTACGCTTGCGGCTCTTGGGTTTGCTCCCTCTACTGCCGACCCGTCGCTGTTTCTGCGCACCGACACTTCTTTGCCGCCGTTCTACATCCTTGTGTACATCGACGACTTGGTCTTTGCCACAGCTGACTCTGCTGGACTCGCCCACGTGAAGTCCGAACTGCAGAAGAGACACACGTGCACAGACCTGGGTGAACTGCGTAGCTACCTTGGCTTGCAGATCACCCGGGACAGAGCACGCCGCACCATTACCCTGACTTAGTCACACATGGTGCAGCAGGTCCTTCAGCGCTTCGGCTTCACGTACTCCTCGCCTCAGGCCACTCCTCTGCCTACTCGTTACTCGCTCTCAGCTCTGCCTTCGGATGAGTCCGTAGAGTCGAGTGGCCCGTACCCAGAGCTTGTTGGCTGCCTCATGTACCTGATGACCTGCACTCGACCTGACCTTGCATACCCTCTTAGCATTCTTGCATGCTATGTTGCTCTTGGGAGACACAGACCGGAGCACATGGCTGTAGCGAAGAGGGTGTTGCGCTACTTGTGCAGTACGTCAGGCATGGGGCTTGTGCTTGGAGGGCAGAGTCCAGTGGTCCTCACTGGGCACGTAGACGCTTCTTGGGCTGACGACCAGGCTACGCAGCGGTCGTCACAGGGTTACACCTTCAGCCTTGGTTCCGGCTCTGTTTCGTGGCGGGCTACCCGCTCGTCTTCTGTTCTCGGCTCCAGTTGTGAGGTTGAGATCTACGCCGGGGTCATGGCTGCATAGGAGCTTCGCTGGCTCACCTACCTGCTGACTGACCTCGGAGAGCCGCCTCGTTCTCCTCCAGTGCTGTACGTAGACAACAAGGCCATGCTGGCCTTGTGTCGAGAGCAGAGACTGGAGCACAGAACGAAGCACATTGCTCTCCGCTACTTCCTTGCTCTTGAGCTGCAGCAGCGTGGTCTCATGCGTCTTGCGTACGTGGCCTCTGAGGCCAACACTGCGGATATCTTCACCAAGGCGCTTGCGCCTTGTGATCATCAGCGCTTCTGTACTCAGCTGGGTCTTGTGCCTGCCTTGCCTCACTTGCTCACTTCTTGACCTTGCTTGTACTGTTACATATATATATACACCTGCTCTTGCTATTCTAGCCTTTTATATATATATGTACTCCTGCATGTGAACTGGCCTTGTGGCCTTGACCTTGGGCTCGTAATGTGTGGTGACTTTGTGACCCACCCTGAGCTTGCTTTGCTTTGCTTTGCTTGACTTGTCTTGAGACCCCTTGCACTCCCCCACTTTGCCTATGGGGGTGTGTCAGAACATTATAGCTTATGCTTTTGTGTCGGCTGTAGTGGGGTAGCCTATATGGGGTACAACCCAATTAGGGTTAGTACTTGTACCCAACTCTTTCATACTGCTTTCATTCTCGTTCATTATCACAAGGAGTTGGAGTTTTTGGGGCACGTCATCTCCCGCGACGGCATCAAAATCGACCCGGCGAAAATCAAGACCATTTAGGAGTGGAAGTCCCTGACTAACATCACGGAACTTCATAGTTTTCTGGGATTCATGAACTACGTCAGGCGGTTTATCATGAATATGGCGAGGATAACCGGCCCGCTGACCGACCTGCTGCACAAGGACAGGAATTTTGTGTGGGGGGGAGGAAGCTGAGGTGGCTTTTCAGGAATTGAACAATTTTCTCGTCTCCCCTCCGGTTCTGCGCATCGCCGACCCATCGAAGCCGTTCGAAGTCGTCACCGACGCTTCAGATTTCGCCATCGGAGCTGTACTCCTCCAGGATTTTGGGAACGAGCTGCAGCCGATCGCCTACGAGTCACGCAAGCTCCAGTCAGCCGAGCGCAACTACCCAATTCATGACAAGAAGATGCTCGCCATAATAGACGTGTTCAAACTGTGGCGCTGCTACTTGGTGGGCGACGACGTCACTGTTCACACGGACCACAAGTCCCTACAGTACCTGCGAGCTCAGTCCAACCTCAACCCGCGACAAATTCGGTGGCTGGACTACATGGAGAGCCACTTCACCTACCGCATCACGTACAAGAAAGGGGCGAATAACATCGCCGACGCCCTTACCCGATCGACAGTTCAATCCGCTGCAGTACTCATCACCCATTCGAACCCGCTACTTACAGGACTATTCACCCACGGCTACAATACGGACCCGTTCTTCACGTCTGGAAATCACCAGCAGGCAACGACGCAGAAGGGGAATCATTACCTAAAGGCCGGAATTGACCGGATTTTGTTTCCCGCTTACAGGCTGCTGCGTGAACTCCTTATTCAAGAGGTCCACGATTCTAATCTCTCCGGACATTTCGGGGTTGATAAAACCCAGAAGCTGTTGCACCGTCAATATTATTGGCGCGACTCTGCTAACAACGTGCAGCGATTTGTGTCCTCATGCAGGGTGTGCCTGTTGGAATAAACGAACAGGAATGATTGAACTAATAGTGAAATCAGTACAAGTACCTAACCCTAGAATTGTGTACCCCCTATAGGCTAACCCACTGTAGCGTAAACAAGCACAACATATAAAATGTTTGACACACCCTCATAGGCGAAGTGGGGGAGAACTAGGGGTCACAAGACAAGTCAAGGCAAAGCAAGGCAAAACAAGCTCAGGGTGGATCTCAAGGATACCACACAAATTCCGAGCAAAAGCAAGTGGTCACAAGACCAGTTCACATGCAGGTTTATAATAGAACAAGAGGTACAAAGATCACAACCTAGCAAGAGTAAACATGCAGGTATATATATCGAGAGATCACTGTACAAACAGACTCAAGAAGTAAGCAAGTGAGGTCCAGTAGGCACAAGGCCTAGAAGAGTGCAAAAGCGCTGATGGTCACAAGGCTGAAGCGCCTTGGTGAACACATCAACAGTGTTGCCCTCAGAGGCCACATAACGTAGACGAAGCTGACCACGCTGCTGCAGCTCTCGAGCAAGGAAGTAGCGCAGAGCAATGTGCTTCGTTCTGTGCTCCAGTCTGTGCTCCTGACACAAGGCAATGGCTGCCTTGTTGTCGACGTACAGCACTGGAGGAGAACGAGGCCGCTCTCCAAGGTCGGTCAGCAAGTAGGTGAGCCAGCGTAGCTCCTGGGCCGCCATGGCTGTGGCGTAGATCTCAGCCTCACAGCTGGAGCTGAGAACAGAAGAAGAGCGAGTAGAACGCCAAGAAACTGAACCAGAGCCAAGACTGAAGGTGTAACCCTGAGACGACCGCTGAGTAGCCTGGTCGTCTGCCCAAGAAGCGTCTGAGTGCCCAGTCAGAGCAACTAGGTCTCGCCCTCCAAGCACTAGCCCCATGCCCGATGTACTGCACAAGTAGCGCAACACCCTCTTAGCGGCATAGCCAAGCAGTTTCGACCTGGATACTGGCCACTCGGCTCTACGGACTCATCTGAAGGCAGACCTGAGAGCGAGTGACCGGTAGGCAGAGGAGTGGGCTGAGGCGAGGAGGACGTGAAGCGGAAGCGTTGAAGGACCTACTACACCATGTGTGACTGAGTCAAGGTGATGGTGCGGCGTGCTCTGTCCCGGGTGATCCGCAAGCCAAGATAGCTTGTGAGTTCACCCAGGTCTGTACACGTGTGTCTCTTCTAGAGCTCCAACTTCACGTGGGCGAGTGCCGCAGTGTCAGCAGTGGCAAAGACCAAGTCGTCGACGTACACAAGGATGTAGAACGACGGCAGAGAGGTGTTGGTGCGTAGAAACAGCGACGGGTCAGCAGTAGAAGGCGCGAACCCAAGAGCCGCAAGTGTAGTCCTCAATGTGTCGTGCCACTCACGTGGCGCCTGGCGGAGACCGTAGACTGGCCGTCGGAGGCTCCACTGGGTACCAGGAGGGAACGACCCAGTGAAGCCAGGTGGGCGGCGCAGCCAGATCTCCTCGTGCAGGCTGCCCTGTAGGAAAGCAGTGCTGAAGTCAAGAGAGTGGAGCTCGAAGTCACGCTGAACGGCGACGTGCAGCAGAACCCGAAGAGTGGTCATCTTCGGGGTCGGGGAGAAGGTCTGGAAGAAGTCAACTCCCTCTCGCTGACTGAAGCCTCGTGCAACATAACGCGCCTTGAAGACAGGCGGAGAGCCCGGCGGCCGCTTCACCCTGAAAATCCACATGCCACTGACGATGTTCGCCCCAGGCGGGGGAACCTCGTCGACGTAGGTGCCTGTGGACTTCCAGGAAGCCATCTTTGCGTCCATGGCTGTCTGCCACTGAGAGGAGTAGGGACCGGCCATCGCCTCTACGTAAGAGCGTGGGGTCGGGATGTCTGGTGCATCCGGGTCTCCCTCAGGGGCAACAAGCATGGACACGAGATGGGGCAAAGCGGCAGCAAAGCACTCAAACTCCTCCTGCCTGTCCTCAAGGACGTCAGTGCCAAGAGCACACTCACCCCCGATGGACGGAGGACAAACAGACTCAGACTCAGCAACTAGGCTAGCGGCGTAGTCTAGAGGACAGGTGGCAGCAAAGTCGACAAGCTCAGCAACTAAGGCAGACGCAGCAGCGGACTCAAAGGAAGGGTCACTGACAACAGATGCTAGGAGACGCGTGACAGTAGGACTGGCAGCACGAAGGGAGTCTGACTCCGGGTCAGCAAGAGCAGGAAGAGAGGACGCAGGAGGAGACGGCAGTGGGACACGGTGTGGAGCAGTGGAAGGACGAAGCGCCATCCTGTGAGTGCCTGGGACAGCAAGAAGACGCTGACGCGGGATACGACTACCAGTGAGAGCAGCACGGACAGGCGACGCACGACGAGACTCAGGCGACGCAGGACGAGACTCAGGCTCATGACGCTCTGTAAGACCTCCAGTCGGACCAGTATAAGGAGCAGGACCAGGGAGAGAGGAGGCAGACGGTAACTGCGACTGCAGCTGGACAGACGGAGGACACCCTAAGGAGGGAGGAGGACAAGGAGGAGGGAGCTGACCAAGAACCTGCTGAAGGAGCGGAACGAAGTACGGCCGCGGCCGTGCAGCGACTCCAGACGCAGCAGAGACACCAGCGCCAGGGTCCTCAGCACCAGCAGCAGCTCCAACTCCCGGGTCCTCAGCACCAACAGCAGTTCCAACGCCCGACTCCATAGCACCAGCAGCAGCACCAGCGCCAGGGTCCTCAGCACCAGCAGCAGCTCCAACGCCCGGGTCCGCAGCACCAGCAGGAGCTCCAACGCCCGGGTCCTCAGCATCAGCAGCAGCTCCAATGCCCGGGTCCTCATCACCAGCAGCTGCTCCAACGCCCGGGTCCTCAGCACCAGCAGCAGCACCAGCGCCCGGGTCCTCAGCACCAGCCGTAGCTCCAACGCCCGGGTCCGCAGCACCAGAAGCAGCTCCAACCTCTGGGGCTGTAGCACCAGAAGCACCAGTAGGGTCTCTAGCACCAGCAGCACCACCAGCAGCAGCGGGGTCCGCGACACCACGCACGCCACTCCGAAGAGTGCAGCGCCGCTCGTACCACTCACGGATCCGCTCACGGGAGGGGAGCTCCCGACTAGGAGGAGAAGCACTAGCACCAGTCCCAGTAGTACGCCTAGCTCCAGAGGTACCTCTCCTGAGGCTGCAGTAGTGTAAGTACCACTCACGCAGCTGTTCCGAGGAGAGGGCTCCTCCAGGTGTAGGACTCCCAGGCTCAGCACCTCCAGACTCAGAACCCCCAGACTCCGGACTCTGCGGCTCAGCACCCCCAGGCTCAGCACCCCCAGGCTCAGTACCCCCACGCTCAGCACCCCCAGGCTCCGCACCCCCAGGCTCTGCACCCCAGGCTCAGCACCCCCAGGCTCCGCATCCCCAGGCTCCGCACCCCCAGGCTCCGCACCCCCAGGCTTAGCACCCCCAGGCTCCGCACGCCTAGGCTCCGCACCCGCAGTAGGACGAGAGTCGACAGCTACCTCAACAGGCTCAACCGGGTCTACCTGAGACGCACCTGAGGGAGCGGCACCCTGAGGGGGGAGGGGGTCTACGACAGCAGCACCTGGCGCGAGGAAGAGAGGCGGGGGGGGGAGCGGGGCAGTGCGGTAGGGGAAGAGGCGGTAGTAGGGGACGGACTCGTCAAAAGTGACAGCCTGAGAGGGCAAGACTTGGCGCGAGGTGGCGTGGTAAAACTGCCAACCAGGCACGTCCGGGACAAAGTCGAGGAAGACGCAAGGAACAGCACGGGAGCAGAGCTTGTCAGCAGACGTATCGCGGACAAAAGCTCGAGATCCCCAGACCCGGAAAACGCGACGCATCGCCAACCTCCCCCGTCCACAACAGTGTGGGCGAGGTCTCCGGCAAGGAGACACGGGGCCAGAGGTTGAGCTGATGCGCAGCGTACCGGACCGCAAACGGCCACAGAAAGTGGGGGGCAGCCGCATGGATCAAGGAGGTACGGGCGACCTCCATGACCAGGCCAATGCGGCGCTCCGCAATCCCATTCTGCTGTGAAGAGGCCGGAAGCGTGAACGATTGGTCAATGCCGTGCTCAGCACAGTAGGCTGCCAAGAGGTCGGAGGAGAACTCACCACCTCTGTCAGAGTGCAAGCGCGGGACAGGAAAGTCCAAGCGGAAACGCTCGCTGAGCTGGAGACGAGCTCTGCGGATCCAAGGGATCAAGACATCAGGGACCTCACCCTTGGTGCGCAAGGGGAAGACCGTGGTGTAGCGCGAGTAGTCGTCAACAACTATCAGGAAGTACCTCTCCTGACCCTGACCACGGACGCGGGTTGGGCCCCACACGTCCATGTGGAGCGTCTGCAAGGGAGCAGTTGTTGGGGGACACGAGGAGGAGTGAGGAGCGGCGCGCTGCCGCCCCTCAACACAGGGAAGACAGGGAGGAGCAGGTGAGGGAGGGAGGGGAGGAAGGACCCTGGGAAGGCCAGAGACAAGGTATCGGGAGTGCATGGCACGAAGCCACTGCACAAACGGGTGGCCAAGGCGGTGGTGCCAGAGGACAGTCTCGTGTGCCAGAGAGCGACACGAGCAGGGGGCCGACAGCTGACCTGACGCGGACGCAGACGCAGACGCAGCGACCTGAGGGGACTCAGTGGTCAGTGTGTACAGGTCCGACCCGAGCTGCCGAGTGAAGGTAGCCAAGTGACGGCCCGTACGAGCACACGTGCAGTGTGTCACTCGCTCGTAGGCAGGGGTGAACTGGTGAACACCCCCGTCCTGGAGCGCACATCCTGCCACCAGGTTCGTAGAGAACGAGGGGAGGTGGAGACCTGACAGTGTGCCCGACGGGACCGCAGGACAGGGGAGGACAGTGGAGGAGGTCGCAATGACCGGACCCCCAGAGGGGTCAGCGAGGGAGACAGCAACTGGCCGAGCAAGCGGCTCAAGGGCAGTGCGGTCACGAAAGAAGCAGCGAGAAGCACCTGAGTCCAGTGTGCAGTGCTGCAGTCGACTCAGTACCGGGGGGGGCAGACGCACAAGCACCTAGAGCAGCTGCCTCACCAGCACTTGGGGTAGCAGACACGCGAGTACGTGGAGCAGCAGACGCACTAGTTCTAATGCCCGGGTCGGGCGGCACACACAGGTACTCAGCACCCTCTCCACTAGTAGACATCACATACATAGCAGTGAGAATAGCATCAAAGTCTAGAGCATAGATATCAATCCCCTTCTTCAGGAGATCAACCCAGCGGGGCAGCTCAGTGGCCTGAGGGAACTGAACACGCCAAGCGTCGTTGAGACGAGCGAAGCAGCGCTGTGTGGCGTGCGGTCCCCCACACTGCTGACTAGTGCGGTCACCAGTGCGAATGACGTACGTGCAGCTAAAGCCACCCCCCCCCCCCCCCCCCTGCTAAGAGTACCACTCACGGACCTCCTGGGGCAACGGAGTGTGCTGCTGGCCCTGGCCACCGCCAGCGCCTCCACGACCACCACCGCCGCCGCCACCTCCTCGACCACCCCAACCCCTGCCGCCGCCGCATCCACCGCCACCCCCACCACCGCCTCCGCCCCTGCCACCTCCCCCGCCGCTGCCGCCACCACCCCCACTGCTGCCAGTAGCCCCTCCAGTCGCGCCACCACCCCCACCGCCGCCACCGCCCCCACCACCGCCTCCCCCGCCGTCACCGCCACCGCCCTTGCCCCCTTTGCCCTTGCCGCTGCGGCGCCCGCTCGAAGCAGACGCAGTCCCGACCTTCTCAGCACCAAGGAGGTCGACAGCAGCAGCAGAGGCGACAGAGGGAAGAAGGGGGGAAGGAGAACACCCCTCAAAGAACGGGGTACGGGGGTCGCCACGAAAGGCACCTACAACGACTATGCTAGCCTCAGCTGCAAGCAGTTCCTTCTCGAGGAGGGCAATGGTGAGCTCAGTGGGGCAGCGAGCTAGGAAGTGGTCCCTGATTGAGCGCAGAGTGTAAGGGAGGCGGGTGACTAGGTGGTAGAGAGTGAGCCAGAGCGGGGGTGGGTTCTTGGCAAGGAACTCATCAGGCATAGTGGCGCGGAAGCGAGCCTCACTAGTGCGGAGGTGCGTAATGAGGTCAGCGACTGTGTGGAAAGAGGCTAAGTCGGGGAACAGGTAGGGAAGAGAGAGACGGCCTAGTGCGGCAGAGGCCGATGAGGAGTAGCGGGCAACGACAGCTGTGTACAGTGCCTGTGCAGTCTTGTGCTGCCCAAAATGCTCGCGCTCATCTATCGGCAGGGAGTTGCGAATAGCAAAGCGAGCGTGGGCGTCATGAGTCTGCCACTGTGAGCGGGCAGTGCTGTCAGCAGTAGTAGCAGCAGGGGCAGTGACATGGCCTAGGGCGTGGTCGTACAGTGAGATGTCGTCCTTGGCAGTGAGGTGTACATAGAGGTGCAGGTCATCTAGCCAGGTGTCAAACTTCACTGGGCGGCCCTCAGCATCGAAAGCTAGCACAGGTGGGCTAGCCATAGGAGCAGTAGGAGCAGCAGTAGGAGTAGGAGGGTGAGACAGGTAGGGCGGCTCGAACAGTACGCGCAGCGCGGTTCAGTTCAGGTAGGGCGGCGCGGCTCGGTTCGGGTCGCGCGACTTGGCTCGGACTGGGCGGCTCGGTTCGGGTCGCGCGGCTCGGCTCGGTCCTGGAGGGGCTGTGGCGGTCACGGGCCGTTCAGGGCCTCTAGGGGCGAGCGCGGGGCCGTTCGGGGCTCTAGGGGCGAGCGCGGGGCCGTAAGGGGCTGCTAAGGGCGAGCGCGAGGGCCGTTCGGGGCCTGTAGGGGCGAGCGCGAGGCCGTAAGGGGCCGCTAAGGGCGAGCGCGGGGCCGTTCGGGGCCTGTAGGGGCGAGCGCGGGGGCCGTAAGCGGCCGCTAGGGGCGAGCGTGGGGCCGTTCGGGGCCTCTAGGGGCGAGCGGCGGGGCCGTAAAGGGGCCTCTAGGGGCGAGTGCAGGGGCCGACGCGGGCCTCTAGGGAGGTGAGCGCGGGGCCGACGGGGCCGTTAGGGGCGATCGCCGGGGCCGACGGGTCGCTAAGGGGCCGAGCGCTGGGGCCGTAAGGGGCGAGCGCGTGGGCCGACGGGGCCTTAAGGGGCGGCGCGCAGGTCGCTAAGGGGCAGATCGCGGGGCCTTAGGGGGCCATGAAGAACGAGGCGCCCGAGGGCGCAGTTTGGTAGGTAGGTAGGTAGGTAGTGGTGGGCCCTAAAAAAAAATGGTCCTAGCGAAGGACCTGCCTCTATACCATGTTGGAATGAACGAACAGGAATGATTGAACTAACAGTGAATCAGTACAAGTACCTAACCCCTAGAATTGTGTACCCCCTATAGGCTAACCCACTGTAGCCTAAACAAGCACAACATATATAATGTTTGACAGTGCCAAGCCATGAAAATCGACACGTCAGCGGCCAGCTGGACTGCTGCAACCCCTCGAGCCACCGGAACGACCGTGGCAACAGGTGACGATGGATTTCGTCACGGGGCTGCCAGCTGGGCCGTCAGGCAACGACGTTTGTTCTCGTCGTCGTCGATCGCCTCACGAAGATGGCGCACTCCGCACCGTGTCGTACAACAATCACAGCCGAAGAAACTGCGCGCCTCTTCATCTCGACCGTTGTGAGACTACACGGAATCGCCGCAGCGATCATCAGCGACAGGGACCCGAATTTCACGTCGAAATTCTGGAAAGAAACGTTGGGCGCAGTACGGCACGAAGCTAACAATTCTCATCGGCATACCACCCGCAAACGGACGGACAGACCGAGCGAACCAATCAGACGATGGAGCAGCTGATCAGAACAAACTGTTCCGACCCCACTCGCTGGGAAAACTCGCTCGCCATGCTGGAGTCCGCGTTCAACAACGCCCCGTCCAGCACGACTAATCACTCCCCGTTCTTCTTAAATTACGGGATGGATCCGACGGTGCCTACGACGACTACACTCGACAACCCGGGTCCCGAGGTCACAAACATTTGTGACGGAACTTCAGGAAGTTCGCGAAAAGGCTGCGGATGCAATTCGCAAGGCGAATACCACTTCCGTAAATACACCGACCTTCTACGACGGGAACTCGTCTTGGCAGCTGGGCAATTAGTGCTACTCGACACGAAGAACTTGCACCTGCCCGGCCCATCAAAACTCCGGCCACGATTTTGTGGGCCTTTCAAGATCATCAAGATGGTGACACCTGTCACGCGAAGCTGCTGCTACCCGACGATTGGCGTATACATGACGCCTTCCACGTCAGCCTCCTTCGCAAGTTCGTGCCTGCCACGACTAACATCGCGCGCGAGAACGCTGCCCCGACAGCCCGACCTGTCCCAGAACCGACACTTGACCCGTCCAAGATTTTGGCGCATCGTGTTCGGCTCGACGCTTCTGGACGCCACGTGGATTTTTAATCCGCTGGACTGACCGCACAGTGAGGACGACACTTGGGTGCCATGCCTCGCTTTGAAGCTTCTCCGCTTCTTGGTGATTACCTCGCCCGCAAGCGAGTTGCGGATATTGACCCACTTTTCTTAAAGGGGGGGTAGTGTAAGGAAAAACCCTTTTCATTACAGGTTTACTCAACCGCGTACAACCCCAACTTTCGGAAGTGCACGTTCGGCCACTTTGCT